CGACATACATAACAACACTCTATCCTCACAACTAGAGGAACACTAGAAATCTCTCACAAGGAACCCTAGGCTAGCAGGCATCATAAATCAGGCAACTCATCAAGAAATCCTGAAGATCCCTAGCCTAACTCTAGCATGCTGTTCTATCAAAGCTCAATAAAACAATTGTCATGTATGGTGTTTTGGGGTTACTTACTGGCTCCGGCTGATCGTACCTCCGCGTCCTCCTTTACTTAATTTGAAAACCATTTTAAATTCTCTTTTTGAAAACCCTCCTCGATTTGAGACTGGAGTCACACAAGTGTTCCTCCAATTCACTCAAACCAAGGCTCTGATACCAACTTGTAACATCCGAAAAATACAACCAAATTTAAATTTTTCAAAACAACCCGATTTTCATTAAAATGATTACAAAAAGGTTTTCAATACAAATCATTAGAGTATTCCCAGAATCACATTGCTACAAAATCATGAGGAGCGGTACGATCGCGCCTTCGCCTTGCCACAGTCTCCTGAAGAACCTGAAAAACATTAAACCACAACTGTAAGCCCGAAAGCTTAGTGAGATACCCCCAAAATACCAACCACGTATACGCCCTTCCAGGCTGCGACCTTCCGGTCCAAAACATATAAAACATACATAACATAACAGAACATAGAACAGCCATGCATATCGGGTCTACTGTGTGACTGGTCCGCCGTATCGGGCCTTCAGTCCATCGGATCCATCCTCCAGGTCTAGTCATGTCCTTCGAGTCTACAGTGGGGTTGGTCCGCCCGCATCGGGCCTTCAACCCACCTGGTCCACTCTCTGAGTCTACAGTGTGACTGGTCCGCCCGCATCGGGCCTTCAGTCGGCCTGGTCCACTCTCCGAGCCTCGGCACGTCTGGTCCGCCCTCGTGGGGCCTACAGCCTATCCGGACCGCTCGCTGGGCCTTCGGAACAACCGGTCCGCCCTGGGTATCTTGGCCTACAGCACAAAGCAGGACCCGCCTCAACCCATCTCCAGTCCAAACAACCATGTGCACAAAACATACAATCATATAACAGTCATAGTCAACAAACCGAGCAAGCAGATCACATAGCATATCATTACCCTAACCGGTTACCGACCTAACCGGTCACTAGCATAGCATCACTCTGTATATCGGGAAACTGACCTTAACAAGGTCTCCTAGCATGTACCATCCTAGCTACCAGGATGCAGACACATCAAACAATAACATAATAACCATATCCGAATCTCAATCCAATAAAGGGCCGGCCTTGGTGCCTTAGACCCTGTTGATATAGTGAGGATAACTCACCTCGAAACTGTCGGCTGAAAGGATAAGATCCCGCTGCTCCGAACTCTGACACGAACTCCTCCACTGAACATCAAAACATACAACTCAATAAATACCCTTAATTACCAAAATACCCCTGGAAGACAACTGGTCAACCTTGGACAAGTCAAAGTCAACCCCTGACTGACCCTACTCGCCGAGTCAACCCGATGACTCGCCGAGTCCATATGCTCAGAACTTCCTTCAATCAGCGACCCAACTCGCCGAGTCACCCCAAGACTCGTCGAGTCCAACAACTCTGAGTCCACTCGCACCCAACTCACCGAGTCATCCCTTGACTCACCGATTCATCGACTCAACCAGAAATATTGGGACTTCCTCGACAAGACTCGCCGAGTCCAAATGGACTCGTCGAGTCCAAGGCTATCTTCAACCTACTCGCCGAGTTGTTCTTCCAACTCGTCGAGTTCCAGGCCATCTTCAAGCAACTCGTCGAGTCCACCCATGTGACTCGTCGAGTACCACCGGTCTGAATCCATACAGAAGCATCTCAGGCCATGCAATTGATCCAAAACATAGATCCAACCTCCTACAATCCATCCATCACGTAAAGTGGCAAACTTTACGTGAATCTAACGAGATCTAAGCCTATTCACCTTAAACCAAGGTTTGGGACATGGTAGCTTCATTAACAACACAAGAACAGGGGCTTTAATGCTCTTAAGGTCTTCTCCACTCCAGATCTGAGGTAGCAACCTCAGATCCATCCTCCAACATCAAAATGTCACACAACCAAGCACCCCACACAACCCCAAAATGAGAAACTAGGAAGATACAGCCCAAGAACGAAAGTATTACCTCCAAAAGATGCCTCAATAGCAACCAAACTCGAATCCAAGCAAAGCCCTTTGATCCAAGCCACTTCTCCTTCAAGATCTCTTCAAACAACACCTCTCCAAGCTCTAATTTGCTCCACAAATGAACTCTCCACGAATTTAGGGTTTCTGGAACTCAAGGGGGGAATAAGGGAGGCTGTGGAGGGGTATAATGCTCTTTATATAGGGCTCAACCCCGAAAATTAGGGTTTTCTTCATACAGCACCTACTCGCCGAGTCCATCTTTGGACTCGACGAGTAGGCCACTGGACATGCGACCATAGCCGCGACCTGACTCGCCGAGTCTATGCATGGACTCGCCGAGTCACCCTCTAAAACTTACACTTTTAGCCCTTCAACTCTACTCTTGCGATTCCGGGATGTTACATAGTAAGAGATTAGAGTATCATCGCATGAATACGTAGTTACAACATCGCCTGAACTCGTAATTCATCACCTACAGGTTATGAGTCTGCTGGTGTTTCCACGGGGTTGTCTATAATAGTCCGTGGTCACCATCAATACTCTGGTAGATGACTACATCTCCAAATTTCCAAACAAGGTTATAGTATCTTTCTACATAACCGATTCATCATCACCTAATTATCACCACCTATCTCTCATCATTTTATTTCATCATACATCAACTATTTCATTTACCCATGTTTTATCCCAACATATTTGTAGATATAAAATAAATATATAGTTTAAATCATTTAAAACATGTATAAAATCATTCATCCAGCAAAGACAACAAGTATCCAGATAATATGCACACATGACACGTAATTTATATAAAATGCTTCATATCTATGTGTAAGATGAAAGTAACTATGCACTCACTTGAAAAGGTGGTGATTCAGAACTCAGACAACGCTTCGCTTCTTAAAAATAATTTCCTTCGACGAAACCTAGTATTATTACCACTAGAGTTTAGTCTATTATTCGCCGAGACTAATTAATAGTCTAGCTATTATTACTATTATATAAGCGTTAAACAATACTTATATAACCCATAATAATAGCTCAAGTACTTATTATAAGTTCCTAATAACATTACAATAATTAGATAAAAGCTATATTAAAAATAGCGTAGACGTAGCTCACTTACAACGAGTTTTATAGAAAATCGGGATTTGCTTGGAGTAGCGTTCCCGAGCCGAAAAGCTCTTCTTCTTGGAGCAGTCGAGCACTCCGGGGCTTCCGCCTTGTGCTAGGGAGGTTGCCTAGGCTTTTCGGGGGGTTTCGGGGCTAGAGAGAGGTTTTAGTGAGAGAGAGAGAGAGAGTAAAAAGAAGAAAGAATAGGAAAGGTGTGAAGAAAATAAGGGTGGGAGAGGTTCTATTTATAAGGTGAAATACGGCTGAACTTGGTGTCACATGTCACCATCTGGTGGCAAGACTTGGAGAGAAAGCAATGACCAAGATTGTGTCACGTCACCCATTTTCGTACAACACATTTCCAACTTCTAAAATTTGTAACTTTCACAGACGAGCTCCGTTTTTGACATTCTTTATATCCACACGTAGGTAAAAATAAGATCTAAATGTTTTATTTTGACTCTGTCGGCTAATTCTCGACCGATTTTAAATTTAACAGTACGAGAATATTAGACTGTTAAATGACCGCGAAAAATTTGTAACTCCTTCATATAGTCTCCGTTTTCGTCTGTATTTTTACCATTGAGTTCCTATTAATGAGATCTTCAACTCTCATTTAGGTCACGTAAGCCAAAAACCGCTCGAACTAAAATTCAAGTTTTGGGCCGTGCACTGCTAAGCCAAATTTTAGAAAAATTATAACTTCCTCATACGAAGTCAGATTTGGGCGTTCTTTTTATGGACGCTCTGAGGTTAACTTATTCTATGAATTTAATTTAGATCACTAAGGCTAAAAGTCGCTCTATCATAAATTCACTATTTACGTCTCCCCGGTGCCGTGCCGGTTTCGTCGCGAAACTTCGACGGGTCATAACTTCTTCGTTATAACTCGAATTTCGGCGCTCTTTATATGTACGGAACCCTTGAGACATATTCTAAAACTTGGTTAAGATTATTTATTCTAAGTAATATTCTGTCAAAAAATCGTTTTCGATCCTTATTATCTCTAAATTGACTAACTCGGATCTACGGGCATTACACAACCCTCTTCCCTTCCCATATGAACAACCACCATCACCTACCAGAATATTATAAACCACCACCATAGCCACCTGTCGGAAACCACCGCCATCATATCACTTTATTTCTCTGCTGATGAACACACAATCCTGATAAACAAAGAAAAAAAAAATCAGAAATCCAAGAACAAATACAAAACCCAGAAAACTATAAGAACAAACATGAAGAAGAGAGAGAAACATGGTTTTTCAGAGATGGATTTGTTCGTTATAAGCATCTCGCTAGATCTGTTCGTCGTAAGGATTTAGGATGACTGCTTTGGTGGTCATCTGACGAGAAGAAGAGAGAGAAACAAGGTGACAATAGATTTGAAAAGCTAGGGTTTCTAAAAAGTAAAAAGGTAGTGACTGAAACTTTAAACGACATCTGATTTGAAATCCGTATCGATGAAGATAACGGGACATAACAAAATGTGGGTTCACATATATGCGAGAGAGGGATAGAAGGATTAGTTGAAACACTCTTCCACCACCGCTGCTCGTTGCCACTACGTTCGTCCCCCATCTGCCATCAAGAAGTCCAACATAGTCATCCCCCACCCATTATCATCATAATAAAAGTCGTTAAGGATTCTCAAGGAGAGAAAACAGATTTTAGCATAAACCTCATCTATGTCGGGATCTGCCATGAATGTCACTTTGGAAACCGAAACGTCGTTATATGTATCTCTCTCACACACAAACGAATGAAGATCACCGGAGCACAAGATATGTGAAGAAGATCTGCAAGCATAAGGTTTATTTGTTCCTCAGAGTTTAGATCTGGAAAGAATCGTCAGAGTTCATATCGAGGGTTTTGTGTTTCTTGGAAGGATCAGATGAAGCGAAAGTGGAGGTGGTGGTGCTTTGATGAAATTGTGACGGTGGCTTCCATCTTTTCCCTACTTCAAATTCGCCAGAAGACTGATTGTATTTTCTTTTTTTGAAAATTCATAAGGATGAGTTTTTTGAAGAGAGAGAGAGAGAGAGAGTGTGAATGAGAGAGAGAGAGATAGTTTTATTTTTGTTTTTTAACTTTTATAATAAAAGAAAAATGTAAAATAAAATAATAAAGGGCAAATCCGTCATTATAAAATGTTTTGAAAATTTTGGACCAAACTTGCAAACAAAATGAAAAGTTTGGACCTTTGGTGCTAGTTCAAACCATTTTGGACCAAAGTGATAATTTTCAGCTAACCACAGAGACCATTTGTGTCGTTTAGTCGAATCATATTATAAATGTTATTCGGTTAATAAACAATTCGGACCGATTATTATCGTACCCGTATTGATTTAAACGGTCCGGTTTTCAATTCCTCAAAATAGTCTTATTCGGTTTTCGCTTTATTCGGTTCCGAACCGAATAGCATCCCTAACATGAGGGGTTTTTCCCTTTAACTCGTTTTACAATTGTGTTTTGTGAGAATGTGAGTGGTGTGTACTTAGCTTCTAACTTGGTTCAGCACCAAAGAACCAAACATGTGGATATAGATTTATACTTTGTTAGGAAACACGTTGCCATTGGACAGGTTCGCATGTTACATGTTCCATGTGCCCACTAATTTGCTGACATATTTACTAAATGACTTACTACATAGTTATTTTAGATTTTCAGAACAGTTTAAACTTTCATATCCCACTACTTCAACCGAGAGGGAGTGTTAATTTATATTAGTATATAATTTAGTATTTTATATTCTTTATATTATCGAGGGTCCTTTATGTAAATTAACATTATATTGTTGGGAAATGGACTTAATAAGGTAATTAACTTTTCGGTTTGTTCACATCTAGGTAATTATCTTTTTTTGTACACATCTAGGTAACAAACTTTTTGAAAGTGTTCACATATGACCATTATGACCGGCTGTAGCAGGTTACATCTGGTCATAACCAATCATAATGGTCATATGTGAACACATCCAAAAATTCGTTACCTAGATGTGTACAAAAAAAAGATTGTTACCCAGATGTGAACACCCCGAAAATGTAAGAGTAAATTACACGAATGGTCCCTGTAGTTTGGGTAATTTGTGCATTTGGTCCCTAACTTAGTTTATAACTTGGATGATCTCTACTGTTTGTTTTTGTTTTGCATTTGGTCTTTGTCTTACCTTAAAAGACTATTGTGCTCTTTTTAAATTTATTTTTAATTAATCCTCTTATTTATGTGTTTATTTTTTATATATTTTAAAAAATTAATAAACCCCACATATCTGTATCTCCTCACCCTAAACTTGAAACCACATTCGAGAAATTTAAACTTGGTCCCACCAGCCACCATCCCATCTCTCATTCTCCTCAAACTCTCTTTCCTTTCCATCTTTAATGACATTAACGTATTTACCATCTCTTCTCTTTTCGATCCTTCAACTTCGGTGAACCAACACCATAACCCTTATATTGGGTTGTGGTGGTGGAAAATTCAATGAAGAGACAATGAGTTGTGGGGTTGGTTCGTCGGAGTTAAAGGACCGAAAAAATAAGGGATGGTGAAGACGTCAATATCACTAAAGATGGAAAGGAAATAGAAGTTTTTTTTTGAAAGAGAAGTTGAGGATGATGAGAGATGAGATGGTGACTAGTGGGACCAAACTTAAATTTCTCAAATGTGATTTTAGATTTAGGGTGAGGAGATACAAATATGCAGGGTCTATTAAAATTTTTAAATATATAAAAAAATAAATACATAAATAAGGAAATTTTAAAAAAGATAAATTAAAATGGGTACAATAGTCTTTTGGGTAAGACAGTGACCAAACACACAACAAAAATAAACAGTTGAGATCATTCGAGTTAGAAAATAAGCTAGGGACCAAACAAATAAATTACCCAAACCACAGGGACCATTCGTGTAATTTACTCTTATGTTTTTGATGTGTTTACATTTGGGTAACAATTTTTTTTTTACACATCTAGGTAACAAACTTTTGGAAGTGATCACATATGACCATTATGACCGGTTATGACAGGATGTAACTTGCTACAGCCGGTCATAATGGTCATATGTAAACACTTCCAAAAAGTTTGTTACCTAAATGTGTACAAAAAAAAGATAGTTACCTAGATTTGAACAAACCGAAAAATTAATTACCTTATTAAGTCTATTTCCCTATATTGTTTCCACTATTTAAAGCAATGCAGAAATCTTATCAGGCATTCTCACGTCCAACATATTTTGATTTGAAATTAATGTTCGAATTTTACGAATGGTTAGGGTTTAATTTTCATTTTATAACAACCACAGAGTTTTTGGTCACATTTTGGTTTTAAAGTGTTGATATGATGTATTAATTTGGTTTAAAAACAGAAAAGTTGAAGAAAAAATTAAGATGGATATAAAGGGTTTTTGATGAAAAAGATATATAAAATTGAATAGGAAACGGATTACGTCGACCGACATCCCCTCGTAAGCAAGTCATATGTGATATGACAGGGTTAACGGCTTAACGGCTTAACGCACTGACTTTCAACTTTAAACCTCCATTTTCAAATACTTTCCTTTTTAAACAAGGACTAATTGTGCTGTTTATTATAATATTGAGGGACAAATTTTGTAACTTTCTCTTGGGCATCATATAAATTCTAAATCCGTGTCACTCGGCATCTTTCATTCCTCCATAACCACCAATCGGACCACCAGCCACCGCATTCCCCGATTTCCGTCACTGTCGCCTCTCTTTTTTTCTCAGGTAAACCACCGAATTTTGTTTCTTTTGCTGTTCTAATCTTGTTTTATTGTTGTTTTCTTCAATCTAACTGTTCGATCGACAGTGTCTCTACTCAGTGTTGTTTACCATGATCCGGTATTCATTTTTGCTGTATCTATGCTTCATCTTAGCTTCTATTAATCCTCTAATGTCGAACACCTGATACAGTGATATAGCCAGGGTTTACCTATCGCTTTGATACCAAATTTTACTAATCGCGAACACCCTATACAGGGACCCGCGTGTGAACGCAAATGTCATGAATGATATAACTATTTACTAAATTAGAAGCTGTAACTTTAGATTGCAATTATGACTTTAAATTTAAATGCATTTAATTTCGTAGATCGAGTAAGCAATCATAATTTAATAACTCCATTAAACAATCTCGCAATTGAATATTCCTCATCGGTTTTTGTCTGTATATCAATATTAAGTCTAGTACTTTTCGAATTTGAAACTAATATCAGTTTGAGACGCAATATTAAACACTGGTTCCTGAATCTGTTAGATGATGAAAAGTGATTTTGCAAGTTTGCTGAAAAGTCTGCATAATATTCTAAGGCATGGAATATGGATGCTGTTATGTCCCCAGGCAACCACCAGTGGCACTGATCCATGCTGTTGATAGATTAAACACTTAGAATTTTTTTCCATGTTTTGTAAACTGTTTTGTTTTAAGTTCTGTAGTATATTTGATTTACTATTTCCTTTGTTTACAAAACTAGGCAATCTTTATCTTTGTTAATGCAAATATAATTTCAATCCATCTCTGTGTTGAGTCTTTTCATCTATAATTCGTTCATAATTGTGTATTTTTCTGTTTGATTGAACTTGAAACTCTTCATAACCGAAAATAGTCTTGGAAGCCTCTGGAATTTCTGTTAGTTTTCACAAGAGATATCGTTTTATTTCTTAGAAATTTACATTTGTTGGAAACTAGATTTTTCATCTTCATGGGGAAATCATTGAAGTATCCAGGATTCAGTTTTAAACCTACTGATGTTCATCTGGTGATGTATTACCTCAAGAACAAGTTATTAGGGAAAAAGCTTGATCCAGAATTTATTGCAGAGATTAATATAAACGATTTCAGCCCATGGGATCTTCCAGGTATTAATATATTCATGAACATATGTCATTGTTATAATTGAGTAGAGTTTCCAAGTACTTGTTACACTTTACCTATCCTAAAAGAGAGAGTTGACTAGAAGGGTTTAACGAGTTGACTTGTTATTGTCTTAATGCTTTGTAATAAATAACCTTCTAGGGGCTTTTATGTCATTTCCCTAGATTAGGTCGGTGGAGGAAGAAAGGAAAATAAGATGCTACAATAACCCAAACTATGAAAGTACATTGCTATTTCTTGCATCTAACATTGGAAACATTTATGATATCTTAATCTTACCAGCCAAATCCATCTTGAGTGGCGACCTAGAGTGGTACTTCTTCTCTTCAAATTCTAAAAAATATTTAAGTGGGCCCAGAATGAATCGTGTAACTAAAACTGGATTATGGAAAGGCACTGGAAAAGATAAAGAAGTCAGATACAAAGGAAGAACTGTAGGAATGAGAAAAACACTGATTTTCTACGTGGGTCCTCCAGGAAAGCGGACCATAACAAATTGGGCAATGCATGAGTATCGGATGACAGACGAGGATTTAGCTAATCAAGGGGTTGCTCAGGTACTCTGTGGTCTAATTGTTAAATTACTTTTCTAACCTTTGTAACAAGGCTGGGATGATGTGTATTTCAGGAGGCATATGTAATCTGTAGAGTTTTTGAGAAAACTGGTCTTGGGCCGAAGAACGGGGCCCAATATGGTGCACCATTTGATGATGATGATGATGATGATGATGATGATGATACATCTTTGATGATGGTTGGTGTGTTGGTGAATCCTAATAATACAAGTTGTTTAACATTAACATGTCCATCTACAAAAACGTGTGATCCGGATAATTCAAGCGGTTTGGGTCCCTCTGCTATCACATATTGGGAAGATGAGAGAGTGACAGATGATCGTGTTAATGATGATGTCATGCTTACCCATGGTGACCTTGCTTCGCTTCTTCAAAATAACAACACGCAGGAGGAGGTAAAAGAGGTGGAAGATCGAAAGGGGAAGAAAGTGATGATTGATGATGGTGTTGATATGTTAAATGAGTTGCTGGATGCGAGCAACCCACATGATTTGGGTCAAGATATGTTTGAGATGTTTAGTGTTGAAGGATTTGATGATGATTTTTGGAAGTCACTGGAGGAGTGAGTCAACGTGGATACATGTCCACATGCGGTTTTGTATTGCTCATAGATTTATACAATTATATGTTTAGCAAATTTGTGTTATAGTATATATTTATACAAAAATACGATGTTTAGGGTATGGTAGTGGAACATTTATGTTGTACTATTATTGTGTGTTATTTAGTTTTAGTATAGTAAATTATGATGTTGTGTCATAAACGAAGGATGAAATGAAAAAAAAGAGAGGTGCATTAGGAATATAGGAGGATTAAATAGAATGATAAAGCAAAAGAAATTTTTATTTTCCATAAATTTATTCCACTCATCTTGATATTTACTTGTGCACTTGTTGTTTTGTCCATACTCATTTACTTAATTGGTTTTCTTTTTCATGCCACATGTGGGCTTTTCTAAACTGGATTTTTGGGGTCCAATGACTCCGGTCCATGTTCACCTAATAATACTTACACACTTTATTTAAAAGACAAAATTACAAAATTGGTCCCTATGGAATGCATTTTTTTGGAGTTTTAGTTTAAATCCCGACTTTGTTGGATTGGAGGTCCTTTTGAGCTACTTTGCTTGTAGTTTTGGTCTCTGTCCAAACTAAAAAGACTATTATATAATTAATGAATTTATTTTTCATTTTTCTTTCATTTTTTAATATTATTATTATTATTAAATGTAAAAGTGGCCCTCTCTCTCTCTCTCTCTCTTATATTTAATAATAATAATAATATTAAAAAGTGAAAGAAAAATGAAAAATAAATTCATTAAGGCTATATAATAGTCTTTTTCGTTTGAACAGAAACCAAAACTGCAAGCAAAGAAGGTCAAAAGAACAACCAACGCAAAAAAGTCGGGATTTGGACTAAAACCCCAAAAAAATGCATACCACAGGGTCCATTTTTGCAATTTTGTCTATTTAAAATTACCAAGTTCTATCTTTTCATTTAGACAAAATTGCAAAAATAGTCCCTATGGTATGCAAATTTTTAGGGTTTTAGTCCAAATCCCGAGTGTTTTGGATTTATGATCATTTTGGAGTGGTTTGTATGTGAAAATGGTCCCTTCATAAATTAAAATGACTATAATACCCTTGGGGTATTTATTTTTTATTTTTCTTTCATTTTTTTTAAATTTAATATCTTTTTATTCATTTTAACAATTGAAAAAATAACAGAGGACCCACCTCTCTCTCTCTCCCCCCCCTCTCTCTCTCTCTCTCTCTCTCTCTCTGCTGTGAAACCCACCTTCTAGATATGTGCATCGATCGTGCCAATTGTGCCCACTGGAAATCGCCCCACCACAATCTGTCACTGCTACCGTCGCCCTCTATCTCCTCTTCTTCTTCGACGACTTCGCCTCTGCAAACCCTATATCGACAAACACGACAACAAATCTGACTCAGTTCGTCCCTCTTTCTTATCCTTCACCGTTCGCCCCCTTTCTCAGATCTGCGTCCCTCCCAAACAACGAGTTAAAGATCGGAGTGACAATGTTTTCGTGTTGCTAAGGTTTGCAGCGTCTCGTTTCTTTTTCAGATCTCTGAGCAGACACATATACTCCATATGTGACTCGACGAAGGCGGCGAAGGTGAAGCCAAAGAAACCTTTTCTATTTATGGAGGTTCGCCCACAAAGACTTCCACTCTCTCCTTCTCTGACAAATCCTTTGCAAAAACCCTAATGCAACCGCCTTTCTAGGGTTATCTCCAAGAACGTAATCCACCTCAGGCGGTGGGCAAGAGTTAAGTAATCAGAGTAGACAGAGAGGAGGAAAGAGGCGATGGTGGATTTCAGATTCATACACACACATATCGATTAAAAAAACAAAAACATACACATACAAATTGATTTTTGGGGATGAACATACATAAATAATTTCCAGAACGAAACTTACACATGCATACATACATAAATCGATTATAGATTTGATTTATGAGTTTTCTTTTGAGTTTCAGAAAAATATTTAGATTTATGAGCGTGTGTTTGTTTTGAGCACTATATGTTCTTGAGCACTATATGTTCTTTAGCACTTGTTCTTGAGGCTGGAGAGATTGAGAGTATGTGTGCAAGAGTGTATTACCATGTGTGTTCTGAGAGAGAGAGAGAGAGAGAGAGAGAGAGAGAGAGAGAGAGAGAGAGAGAGAGAGGAGAGAGAGAGAGAGAGAGAGAGAGAGAGAGAGAGAGAGAGAGAAGGAGGGAGGGAGGGAGGGAGAGAGAGAGATGGAACCTCTCATTTTTTTTAATTATTATAATGAATAAATAACTATTAAAGTTTTAAATATTGAATTTAAAAATAGAAAATAAATACCCAAGGGCATTAAACTCATTTTAGTTTACCGAGGGATCAATTCCACAATGAAACTAGCTCAAAAGGACCACCAATCCAAAAAAGTCGTGGTTTGGACTAAAACCCCAAAAAAATGCATACCACAGAGATCATTTTTGCAATTTTGTCTTTTATTTATATAAGTACTACGTTAGATATGTTTTACTTTTGGGTAAATAACATGAATCGTCTCTCGTGCAAGTGCCAAAAACATATTTTATCCTTATTTTCTAAAAATAACAAACCATCCCTCATTTGTTTAACACTTACACACTTAATATAAAATGTTGTATGTTTTAGTTTATTTAGTTTTTTATTTGATTTACCATAATTAATATAAAATATAATAGATTTTTTTAAAAATTTCACAAATGGTTTTTATGTGAATTTTTTGAAAAGTTCCCAAACAGTAATTATGGGGACTTAACGTCTCTCTCTCTCTCTCTCATGTTATACATAATGATCATGTGTAACGCCAGTGTTTCTGGGCTTGCCATTTTTAGCAATGTAATAGTCTAGGTTAACCTTTGTAACTAAATTTGAAATAATAAAAATGTATTATTTGTGAATTATGTGATTTATGTGTTTATTTTCTTGATTTTTATAATTTAATGAATTAAGAATGAAATAAGCGTCAAAATTAAAGCGTGAGATAAGCCCGATATCTTTGCATAAAGTTGTAGTGGTTGAAACAAGGATTCCGGAGATATAAGGAATGCCAAAATCCGAGTTATAACGAAGAAGTTATGACCTGTCGAAGTTTCGAGACAGAACCGGTACGATGTCGAGCGACGTAAAATGTGAATTTGAGATAGAGCGATATTTAGCCTTAACAATCTAAATGAAAGTCGTAGATTTCGTTAAACCGAGAGCGTTCATAAAAGGAATGCCCAAATCTGACTTCGTATGAGGAAGTTATGATTTTCTGAAGTTTTGATGTGGCAGTATACAACCCGAATACTCGATTTGAGATCGAGCGGTTTTTAGCCGAAACAATCTAAATGAGAATCGAAGATCTCATTGTTAGTAGTGAAACGATGAAAAGTTAGGCGAGAACGGACGTCAGACGAAAAATTAGCCAATGGAATCTAAATGAAAGTTGTAGAGTATGGTCTCACCTTCGCGTGGATATAAAGAACGTCGAAAACGGAGTTCGTATGAAGGAGATATGAATTTTTGAAGTTTTAATAAATATTTTATATTTATTTTAATTTAACTCCGATATTATCCGAAGAGAAGGAGAGGCGGTCTATCCGAAGTACGCAACGCGTACTGCTGTACGCCCTGCGTACAACGAGGGGCCCTCGAGTAGTCCGAAGTCGTAAGCGATGACGTAGAGGGCCCGGTGACATAAGCGCTGACGATCTGCGAAGCATTACGCCCCGCGTAACCCCGAGGATCAGCCTATAAAAGGAGGTCCGAAGCAGCTTCTTTTCTTTTACAATTCCTTCATTCTCTCTAGCCCTTTGGCCTCGATTTGCGTGCCGATTGTACCCCCGAAGCCCCGGTATTATTCCCGAGCCCCGAAGCAAGATCCGAAGCCCCGAGAATCCCGAAGAGCGTTATTCCCGAGCCGAAACGTTGCCCGCGAGGAGCCCGGTTTTGTGAAGATCTTCCAGATCTACGGAGAAACACCTCTTCTGCAAGCCGTAGTGCTGCCCGATCATCTTCTGATCAAGTGAGTGTATAGTTACTTTCATTCCAACACAATATTATGAAGTATTTTATATAAAATACGTGCTATGTGTATATATTTTGTTGTTATATATGTGAATGTATACCCCACTCTCTTCTATCTTATAGATCTGATTATTTCTCTATGAAATACGTGTTATGTGTGTGTGCCTCATCTGTTATGTGAAAAATGTTTTGATTGAGCATGCTATACAGGTTTTGAAACTACGTATAAAAATGTATATTTTATCTACTAATATGTTGGGTAGAATATGGGTAGATAGTTGGTGTGTAATAAACAGATGAGAGGCCTCGATGTTGTTTTGATCCAGTCATCTAGCGGAATTTAGATGACGACCACGGACTTTTCTAGACAGTCCAGTGGAACGCTAGCAGGCTCATAACCTGTAGGTATTAATGAACTTGGGTGTTCATTCGCTGTATTCCATCCCCCCATGGTTGCCTTATTTGACTTATATTGCTGAGGAACCCCCGAAGCATGTGTAGTCGCCCCGATGAAATATTCTTAGACTAGGTCCCTTGTGTTAGTTATTTTAGGGACATAAAGTGAGAATAACGGGAATGGGTAACTGGGTTATTGTTGGTTGATAATAATTAATTAAATTATTTATTGTGGGTTGAAAACCCTATATGCTCACCAGGCTCCCAAGCCTGACCCACTCAGTTGATTTATTTTACAGGAAGTGGCGCAAGAGCTTAAGATGGGCGAACATCAAGTTGTTTTGTTTACAAGTCTGTATATGTATATATTTGTTGAAAGACTTGTAATGCTATCGTTTATGCTTTATGATCTGTATCGGAACATGACATCCCGACTTTTGATTATGAAATGAAATCATATTTCTTTATGAAATGTTTTGATAAATATCTATTTTATCATGTTTTGTTTTTGGGAACAAATTCCGCATCTCTTTTAAAATTAAAAGGATTTACTCTGAAAATTATTTTAAAAAGCATAAATGAAATCGGTCTTTTCTGGCCGAGATTTTGGGGATGTCACAGTTGGTATCAGAGCATTAGTTTAAGCGAACTAGGAATTTTTAGGATTTCTAGACTTAAACTTAGAATGCTAAGTGGAATTTTGAGATGTGTCTATTATGTTTTAGACACGAGCACTAGTTTATTTTAGGAATATTGCCTAAAATGCTTTATGTGCTAAATGTTGTGTGTTGCCATATATGATATTATTTGTTTGGATCTATGGTCTGTTGCCGACCGGA